TCTCCCCTCGACGCGACGTCGTGTCTGTTGCTGTACAGGTTGAAAATAAGAAACATTCGCTTCAAACCTAAGATATATATATATATATATATATATATATATATATATATATATATATATATATATATATTATGGACAGAGATCTTTTGACTCTGATGTATGACTTAGAAGCCTTACTCCTCATTATAACCATGATAGTTAAAATTTTGATTTACCACTGCATTTTTATATTTTTACCGTTTTTTTTACGTTACGATTCTTTATTTCCCTTCCATTTTTACGTAAAATATCATTTTTGACTACCTTGATTATAACTGATTATTTTCATCTATCTAATTAATTAAGTATTAATTTCAAATAAATGACAATCGATAAATTGAAGGAAATCAATAGCTGAGATTTAGAGTAAGACTTTTAAGTTTTACATTGTAATCAACAATTGAATAAAAAACAACAGGGGCATAAGCGTCAATTCCCATCAAAAATAATGATTAGATGGGCGAAACGATTAGTGCATTTAATGCGCACGAAATGCGAAGACAGCGTATGTTGGCTACAACACGCTGGCAAAAGCAAAGATCACCGTGTGTTCCAAATCTCATTATTACTTGAGAAGTATGAAGCCCTTATCTCAGATCCATGGTTTTGCAAACAAATGAAACCTAAGAATGAACTCGGTTCATATGGTGTCAAAACATAAGAGATTATGTAAAGACTAAGAACCAGGTTTCAAGAAAGATACTTTCTTGCACAATAAAGTGACGATAATTACTATAAGCAATAGATGAATGGATTAGGTAAAAGTTAGACTTGGGGAAACTCGTCAGCAGGAAGTAAAGATAATTCAAGATTGATCGCAACTTGTATTAAATTCACATGGATTATATCCCGACAATTTCAAGGTTCAATTTGCCCAGATAGGGAGACAAATACATTATTACTTAGAATTAATATAATAAACCCGGACATTTCTCAGAAGGAATACGAATAATTTATAATATAACCCGGACATATATAGAAACCTATAGAAATTCGGGCAATTTTTCGAACTTATATATACCTCGACAACCCGGATAGCCATACATTCTGATTGGGGGGCAACTGTTATGGACCCATATATGAGACTCATTCATTATATGGCCCAATAAGAGGCAATCCAAATAAAATAGGATATAATCAAGGGAGGATATCCATCAAAGATATCAATCCTATTACGACAACATCAGACTTAGGATTGGGCTTCCAAAGAAGGTACAAAAAGTCCAGAATCCTAATACCCATATGTAAACTATGTAAATAGGAGATAAAGCCTACAGGTATGATTATTCTCTCTCTTTATTGTTACGTTGTCATTGTGCACACACACTACCCCTTTGGCGAAAACTGTCTTTTATTCCTTTGTGCGCAGTGATCTGTTAAACTCTAGGGTATCTAACTCATAGATACCTTAGAGAGAGCACTTATATCCAAAAAAAATTCACCAGCCTATTGGGCTCGACATCTCTGTTTTCAGGACATAACAGTTCCCCTTCAACCGAGTACCCCAAGGCCAAAGTTCTTAACTCGCCTCCTAGCCAACCACCCCGCTAGCTTAAGCCTAACCATGGCGGATGACTACTACCAATGAGCTAAGGCTACAATAACAAGTAGGTCCAACATCATGTCTCAACTCAAAATCTAAAGGCATTGAATTCATAGGTTCATCCACTTATATCCACTTCACTTAGCTCATTATCAACTAATGTGAGACTCATCACACTTGAATATCTTAACAAAAAAAAAAATTTCCCTCCTATGTTGACCCTCCAAAAATTGTCGTTAAAATCAAATATATGTCATGTGTTTATGTATAAACCATGTTGATGAAAATCGATAGGGAGAACTACTAATTAACTTATTGAAGGTGAAGCTTGATATTCAAAGTAAGTAGGGGTGGTAACGGGCTGGACTTAAGTCTTAAAAGGCTAAGTTTATATTTAAATGTGTCAGCCCGACCTAACCTGTTACCTGTAATTAATATAATTGTCGGCCTGCGGCCTGGTCTATTTACAAAAAATAAAAGACTGGTTTAGTCTATTAAAAAATAAGATAACAAAAATTTATCCAAACAAAATATACAAATTTGTAAGTTGGAACAGTTCCATAACATTTGGTATAATAAATAATGTGTGAGGACACAAAATTTGAATTTAACACTACTGATAGCAAGGTTTGTAAACTACTTAGCAAGGTTTGAAGACATATAGCAATGACGAATTCACAATAGTAATGTGGTATGGTAGGACAATAGAATGAAAAGGAACACACACACAAAATGCAAGAGGACCATACTTATTTTCCTTTCAAGTGTCTAAGCAAGAATTGAGAGAGTAAAAAAGAAACAGTGCTTCATTTTTGGTAGTGTATCTACTTCATACGAGCAACAACCTTATATCACACATTACATGCTACTATAAATTTTGCTTTAGTTTAATCTGAGTCAAACAACGAACCTGAAACTTACCCAATAAAAATGAAAGATATAACTCAGTACTTAGTAGTAAAAGAGAAAGGCAAAGCCATTTTTTAGAGAAAAATGTTGTTGATGAGCGACAAAAATAATAACTCCTTTTTTAGCTTAACTAGAACTTGGTGGGGGTACAAGTAACAAAACAATAAAGAAGTCTAATAGGATATATATAAATTTGTTTGGCTCTAAACAGGAGAGAAAACATAGGAAAATCCATTCAGAGGATCGGATAAGATGCTTTAAATCATACAAACAAATGCAAACATAAGAGTCTCACTTGTTTCGTTTGTCTTTGTATAGAAAGGGACATCGCAAAATTGTCGAATTTTAATGTTCAATTCGAGTACAGGACGCACAAAAGGTGAAAGATTTTCACAGCAAAAACATCATAACGCACATTACATGATTTTGACACAAAATAATCAGATATGTGACCCTTCAAAGCCGAAACACACAATAATCGAGTAATCAGTCACAAAACACCAACAAACCAAATTCTCAAAATATTCTCATAACAAAATCTAAAGAAACAACATCGGACACTAGAAAAAAACAAGAAACATAGATCGAATTGAAAGACAAGAATGGTAGAGTGTTACCTCAACGAGAAACCACAGCTGCTAGTTAGAAATGAGACTAAGCTCGAAATGGGTCTTCGGCGATCCAACAAGCCAACGACAAGTGGTAACAGCGGATGGCATATAGCTAGCGCGAAGTTCCAACCAAGATGTTCCAGCGCGGTTGTGGTTCTGCGTTTGTTGGGGATGGTGACTTGGATCGAGGAGAAATGGGTTGAGGACTTGAGGTCTTGAGGAGAGAGACAACGCAGAGAGAGGGATGTTTAACTGATAACATTAGTATTAAAAATATAAAAAAAAATTAATATAACATGCCGACCTATAAAGCTTTCAGGCCAAACTTATCCATTAAAGCTTGAAGTCTTTTAGGGTCTGTTTGGTGTGATGTATAAGACTTGATAGTATAAGTTTATACTATACGTTATGACATTTTCAGTTGTTTGGTGTGACCATTGTATCACTACAACAAAATTTCTCTTTAGCCACGGCAAAAACCGTAGCAAAATATCATTAAAACCGTGGCTAAACGAGTTGTCCACTGTTTTAAAAACCGTGGCTAAAACTGGCGTTGCATTTTTTTAACCACGGTATTTTTTGCATTTAAGCACGGTCTTTATGAGTGTGGTAACATTGAGTTAGCCACGGTTTATGTTATATTAGCCACATTATAGTCGTGCCTAAACGATTTGGATCCCAATGATGAAAAGTTTTATTTAGCCACAGTCAGAACCGTGGCTAATTGTAAAGAATTTTTTTAAAAAAATAAAAAATATTACAAATTTTTCCAATCATATAAAAAGCAAATAATAAAAATTACATTTGATATAAGAACCAAAAACCAAATTAAGGGAAATAATCAAATAAAGTGGAGTACACAATTTAACACATTACATTTTTTTCTATTCATATAAGTAAATAATGTTTTTTACACAATTTCTCAAAATTCATATTTTTTTCCATTTCATATAAGCTGAAGGAGTTTTCTTTACCAACAAACGGAGCTAATCAAGTTTTCCACTTACATCATTTAAGAGAAATAATTGCCAAATAAAGCTAAAACTATAAGTTTGTGATTGTCACAAGACATCTATACAAAATATTAACTTCATTGTTCAACTAAACAAAATATAACAACACATTTTTTAAATCTGTCTTCCAAGAATTGTTGTTGTATACATCCTATCCTTTTAAAAGGGCTCATCACCAATTCATACCTGTATAAAAAAAAATTAAATAAGATATGCTAAAATGTCACATAACTTTTCAATGTCTATCTTTTATTTTTTAGATAAAATATGAACAAACCTTAAAAGAATTAATTCTGTTAAGAGGAGAAGCATAAACCTTCAGGCCCACCTATTCAAAAGTAAACCATTAAACAATAAATTAGTAAGCAATAGAAAATAAATATAAATATAATTAATTAAAAGACAAAATGCAAAAAAAGCATGTGAAGAAGCCTTCAAGTTAATTTCAGGTCCCTGGTAACCGAGCCTTTGTAACATCACAGGTTCCACATCAATTGGATCCCTGTTGCTGACTTTGTTAGTAGAATTGCTAGGGTAACTAGTGGAATCCCCATAAGCTTCAAACCCAGGTGCAGGCACAAAATAAATACATCCAATGTAATGCCTCAATTGGAAGATTCGAGTGACACTCGAAAACAATAGGTAATGATAAAGAAAACAATTAGAAATAACTCCAATCATTGTACTTCAAAGTAATTGCATTACAAGTATAACAAATGGGCATTGAATAACTGAAACAATCTATTGTACCTTTAAATACTATATCATTTAGTTAAATGAATAAATAAATGAAATAAAACAATGGATAAATTGCATTTTCATTTACATTCATTCTCCTTCACACTTTATTTTAAATTTGGAGCAAATAAACTGCTAAAGATACAGACCTTACATATGCAATCACTAATATATGCCAAGTTATCAATCAGCATTAACATTGATCCACGCTTCACCAATTTTGAAGGAGTTGGGAGCCATCTCTCATATCCTAAATAGGTTTCATCTTATTCTTATATATGTGTTGTAAATATTATAATAAAATAAGCAATTCGAAAATTCAAAGCTAATAGATAATAAAAAACAAAAAGAAGCAAGTTGGTGAGGCATGAATACCTTTAGAAGGAAGTAGAGTGGCGCGCTTGAGAAGATCGGAAACTTACTGCTCATTCTGCATATGTGGTGCAATTGAAATCAAAGAATGAGATTGTTTGTGGGTGAGAATGTTGTTCTTAAGCTTTGTGAGCAGAGGTTTCTAATCAGTATGTTGATTTAATATATATATATATATATATATATATATATATATATATATATATATATATATATATATATATATATATTTTGAGAAGATGCCAATGTGACGAAACTCTAAAAGAGTTCAATCAGTCATCTCCGGGATCTGATGTAATAGAAAAGGGATGCCTAAAAAATACATACCAGCACAAGACAATTAAATTAACTTAATAAGAGCAATAAGAACATGAATTTTGGAACTTAAATTAGGTGCATACCATTCATCTAAGTCTGTGGATTGCTTGCATAAGGCATCTATAAGATCTGGTTGAAGAAAATAAGAAATATATAAAAAAATATAACTATAATTTAACTTATAAAAATTATATATAGTGAAAATTAAACATAACATATGCAATAAGAGTGGAGCTAAGCATAGCATACCCAGTAAGAAGAACTCTGGCGGGAATAGCTTTTACTAAAAGGAAATGAAGTCTTAGTTGATTAAGAATTTATAGTGTCCTGCAGAAGATAACCCACACATTCATGATTATTATATTCAATTTTTAAATTAGTTTTTAAGAAAAAAGAAAATTACCTACCAAGTTCCTTGAATGCCTGAATGAGCACTATAGCAATTTATTTCAACATATCTTGAGGAGCATCATTATAATCATCACGCAAGCACTTCAAAATAGAAGAAGCTAATGAAGCCGCTTCTTCGTACATGGAGCAAACAAGGTAGCTGCAACGCCCAACAACACATTATAAGCAATAGCTCCTGTAATTGTTCTACTTACATATATATATATATATATATATAGTCCAGAAATGACATTGTTCTAGAGCAACTTGCAGATGAGTACAATTATTTCAGCATCAATGCAATTGCCCTCACTTTGCTTATAACTCTTTCATGAGCATCCATGAGTCTAAAGAACACTGCTTTAGAAATTATGGAGGCAACCAATAAGAATCAAGGCACTGATGTCAAATCCAAAAAATATCAGCTACCATATGAAAAGTAAGAGTGTAAGAGCTTGCATTTGAAAATTCACATTTTCCATTACAAAGAACAATGGTACACGAAATAGGCAGATGCACAATTATCTGCCCCCAAATATTAATTTAAAAATTCTCCCTTTATAAATTTTGCCAAAGATCACCATATAATGGAAAAAGGGGAAAAAACACTCTTACAAATATTAACCATCAGAAGTAGATAATAACAGAAGTATTGAATTATAGGAAAACAACAAACTCCCAAAATACCCAATAAAAATCAATACAAATATATTTTATTACAGGAAAAAACAAAGAACTCGAACTAAAGTAGAATGATATACCTTGTATAGAGAACCAAACTTCTTCCATATTTCACCATTACAGTTACAATACTAGTTCAATAAAAAGAACTAAGGAGTCAAAAATAACAATTAAAGAAATTCTTTTATGAGAAAATTACACGCACCACATAGAGATTGTGTAGAAACTACCCTCCGGCTCAACATTATGTGAAGAGCCATCTCATTTCACCTGTAGCATATAAGAAAAAGCCAATATTGACATATCAAGATACACTTGGACTTGCTAGGATCTTTTGGATAGTCAGAAGTTTAAATATAAACAAATTATATGAACCAATTTACACTGACGGTATAACCAAATTCATTGCAAAGACCTAGAATTCCAATATCCACTAGCAACTAGACAAAGCAAGTTGATGCCTTGCCAAATCCCTGGATTTTATGTCCAAATTCAATTCATTCACACTAACACCCAAAACATAGGCAAAAATAAATAACACACTCCAGAACAATAAAAAAAAAAAAACCAAGAACTATAAAAGAAAATAAAATTAGCCTTGGGATAATGGGAACATACATTTTCAAATAATACATAATGGTCAAAATTCGCAATGTGGAATTCTGTAACATAATTATTGAAACCCTAGATCTGGCACATCATGAATCTAACGAACAATTAAATAGCAATGGCACAAGATTTAACATTAGATTCTGCTTATATCAGGGATTAGCGAACCTCAAATTAGAAAACAACTAATAGAAGAGAAAATGGAGAACAGAGTACCAGGAACCGATCTTCAACGAAGGACAGAGGAGGAAAATGTACCCAAGAAAGCAACGCTGAATCACCAAAATGAAGTTCGCGTGTGATTTTGCTATGAGTTGTTAAAAGTAATGCAACTCTGAATCAACAAATAAGCTTGAATTGTTAAAAGCAACGACTCATTTCTTTTTTGCTATGAGCTTTGTTGTGCGAAAAGAAATAAGAAGTCCGCGTGTGATTAATAGATGAGAGTCGTGCGTGTTGCGCTGCCGAGGATTTTTCTCAATTTCTACCGTAATCTAATAACTGTAATTAAATTGCCGTGGTTAAACACTGCATTTTTCGTAGTGTATAGTATAAGCTTATACAGCAAAACTCCTTAATACATCAAAATGATGTATAACTTAATCAGACATAAAAAAATGAGATTAGACCTGATAAGAAGTTGATGTATTAATATTACATACAAATACAACTAAAACAACATATGCATAAAAGAATGGGGGCCCTAAGGCCCTGACATTATTACCGCCGCGATATATAAGGCTCAAATAAGGTATAAAGTCGCCTAACTAAAACAACATATGCATAAAAAAAAAAGTGGCATGTGGCAATCCCAATGGTCCCTGTCCTCTGACCATATACCCATCCCATTCCCATCAGAAGAGGCCGTGTGTATATGTATTTATGTTCCGTGTTCAATATGCATCTCTATTTGGTTGTTTGCTAGATTGGGGCATGAGCTATCATATTCACCCCTCCAATATTTTCGCTTTCGCGTCGATATTTATTTGAAACCATATATTGATTCAACGCGTGTCATAGCCCAAGATTCTCTTCACGTACACGCTTTACTCTCCTTCTTTAACCTTCTCCCGACCCCTATGCTCTCTTGAGAACAGAGAACCGTTGAGTTGATCCGGCTCAAAAAGTTCCATTGATAACTTTTAATTTGAGGATACCCCAATTTCTTAGATCGAAAGCTTTTCTTCGAATTTGATGCTATATGATGTTCTGTTTATTTATTCATTTCTAAATAACAGAGAATTTTTTTTAGCAAAACACAAAAAGGAATAAACGGATGGAGAAAGTAAACAAAAAAAATAAAAAAGGAAAAGGAGTGTGCATGGCATTTAATTTGTTGAATTATATGTTTGCCCGTGTAGGAAAAACTATCACCAGGATTAGGCCAAACTCCTCGTATTGCACCGAAAGTGATCAAGATGAGTGTCCTTTTCATGGAGTTGCTTTCTTGCCTATGTTTTCTTAAGCAGCAGTATGCCTCTCATGTCATCATAATCTTTAACAATTCAAAATCCGGCGCTTTTAGATAAATTTATTATATTATTTTTATCTTATATATATTACTATTATTTTTTATATAAATAAATAATATTGATATTTTGGTAGCTCTATATATGGAGTATAGTCTATAGCTGTACTCTATTAATATGACTATATGTATGTATCTCATGCCTATTTTGTTTCATCTTTGTTTACTTGTTTTCCCTTTGGGTGAAACTACCAGTCCTTTATTATTTCTTTTGTTCATGTTGAGATGAAAAAAAAAAACTATAAGGCATCAAGAGATCAAGAAATAATCAATCAAATAAATAATTAATAATTCCTTTAATTAGAGCGAATCTCAAGGAAATCTAGATGATCTCACTCAGCTCGGACGTAGTAGTTAATTTTCCTCTCCTACAACCTAATATGCCCTAGTGGTAAGAGAAAATACATTTATGATAGAAACGAACAATTTCACACACACACACACACACAAAATATAAACAATCAAATCAATTCGAAGTATTAGCATCTAAATGCATCAAGGCTCGAAAATCAAATTAAAATCAAATGATGTTAGTTCAGTTGACGCATAAAAGCTAAGCAATTGAGATGAGAATATGTATCTGATTTTCTCTAGTATTATTTTTGGAAGAAATTTAAAGTCTTAATTTCGAATCAATCCCAAACTCCGGATTAATCCATACAAAACCTATTAAACAACCAAGGAATACTTAAAAGAAAAAAAAATCAACTTAAAGATTCGTAAGTCTCGACCCATATTAAAAAAATTTGCTACCACGTGATTAAGGTAAAATATGTGGACACTGAGGTTTATTTATTTCTTTGTTTTTTTGTTTCAGAGTCTAGATATAACTTCATAAAATATATTAAATTGCCGTTGTTTTCCACACGGAATCTGAATAGAATGTCGTATTGTTATGTGTGGATCTTTTCGAGTTTTATCCGTCCTTACACAATTGAATAAGAAAAACAATTATTATTTTTCGGAAAATATTGATGAATATCAATTTTGAGCACTTGAATGACATTTCATTTGGCGTATATTTGACGAATCAACCAATCAATCAATCATGTGTCCAATTACAACCAATGCTAAAAAATAAATAAATCAATGGACAAAGCCAAAGGTTATTTTTGAAACAATATCTAGAGCTATTTGAACATTATCTAGCTCATTGACAAACCTGCCAAGGCCATAAACCTATACCAACCCATCATCTCTTTCGTAATTAATGATAATTACATCTTATCTATTATTTGCATGTGAAAAATAAAATACAAAAATTATGTATAATCAGGTCATGTAAAATTTTAATATTAAAGGATTCATTCTCATCCAACTGAATATTACATATGAAGTAGGTTTAAAGTTTACATATTTTAACTTAATTAAGAATAAAAAATTATGAATGAATTTTTATATAACTTTTTTTCCCCGAAATTCATGGTTAACTTTTTAATAAAACCAAGGGATTTACTGTGAACTCGAAACTTTTATACATTAGATGAATCATCACTTTCTAGATGCATGAACAATGTTGCATTCCATATAAAGTTAAAAACAGCGCAGAACTTAATCGGGCGCATTATGGCTAAAACGTACTGTAACGCAATCCAAAAACAAGAGAGAAAAAAAATAGATAAAAACATATGATTAATCAGCTAGGAACCACATGCTACGTGGGACCAATCATATCAAATAACGACCATTTGCATGAATTGTAAGGCAGCTAACCTCATAAGTCACAACCAAGCAACACAGTACAGCCTAATCATGCCCCCCCTAAACAGTGGTGCCTTCATATAATACACAAATCATATCATAAATCTTATCTTAGAGATTCATAATGCACTAAAGCAAATAATAGTAAACATAAAAAAAGTTTAAAAAAAGGAACAATTTCGTAAGAGAAAAATATACACCACAGAGGCCATAATCTCCGGTGAACATTCACTAAAATTCAGAAATAGCTTCAAAAATAAAAAATTCAACAATACTCTTTCTATTGCTGTTTGTATTTGTATTGTAAATTCAATATTTCCAGCAAAACCTTAAGGGAGGGAGGCATATAACACTAGGATTAGGATGAAGATTATTTTCAATAGCAAACTTAAACAAAAGAAAATTATAATTATTTATTTTTGAGTTAATATAAAGTGTAGTTATTAATATTATTATTATTATTATTATTATTTCTTAATCTACAAAATTTCAGCCTCTATACAAAGGAGACCGCTCCAAAACCACTTTAGACACCTTGATTTGCCGGAAAGCCTTCATCGGGCTCGGAAAGAACCACCCCCTTCCCTTCGTCCGCGGTCTCAACTCTCCATCGCCGGAGCCGGAAACCGCCGCCACCGATCTGGACCTCGCCATCACCGCCTTTCTACTCACATCGCTGTCGCGTTCTTCCGTCAATACCTTCTTCGCCTCCCAGTCCTGCTCCGGAGCGCCGCCTCTAGTACTCTTCTGCGGCTTGAACATTGACCAAAACGACCTCGCCGACCTGCTCCCGTTCAACGCTGGCGAATCCCTCGTGCTATCAGGATCCAAATCCCTGTTGCCGCCGCCGCCGCCGGAGAACCTCGACCGCGACCGGAGAAACGGAATCGCCATCGAGCGCGAGCGCCTGAGCTCAGGCTCACGCTCGATGAGGTTATAGACGCGGCCAACCGTGCCGATGCCGTCGCCCGCGACAGAGAATCGAGAGAAGGAGGAGGACGAAGAGGAAGATGAGGAGGAGCTGGTGGCGCAGCAGGAGCAGGGGCGCACGTTAGCGCAGTCAGGGCAGAGAGTAACGAGACGGTCGCGGAGGCAAATTGGGCAAATTCCACTCCTCCGCCGCTTAGATGGGTGTTTGGGACACTTCCAAACCTCTTCTTCGTCCACGTACAACGCCATTTTCTTTCAGTTTGAGCTTTTTCTTTCCACTTTCTCTCGTTTTCCGCCGAAAAAGAAAGTTTTCTTTCTTTTCTTATTTCCTTTGTTTCTCTGATGAATTCACTTTCTCTCTGTTTTTTTCCTCTCTCTCGCTTTGTTTGTGTGGGTAAGGATTTTAAATGAAGTGAAGTTAACCATGGTTAAAGTCGTAGGGTTGCACTTACAGCTTCAATTGTTAACCAGGGTTAAAGGATGTTAGCGTCTATTGGGTGAACCAAACGCCGCGTTTTGCGTAACGGCTCTGGTTTTGTCCAATCCCCATGAAGTGTGAGCGGCGTTTTTATGATTTGGTCCCTGATTCGGGTTCAAATTAACGGGAAGGCCATTGGTCACTTTTACAAAAAAATAAAATAAAATTGGAAAATAAATAAATTGTTGTGTTGTTTGCGTTTTAAAAACAAAAAAGGTGAATGTGATGGTTGGGAGTTGTTGTATTTTGAAGCCTTCTAAGTTGTAAAAGTAATGCAGAGTTCCAGACACATCGTGCGCATTTTCAAATCTGGGATGGGACTCCTAAGCAACTCAACAACTGAGGACGGGGTCCCACCCTCAACAAGATTATTACTTAATAATGGAACACTAACATTTGCATTTCTTTCTTATGTGGAGTAATAAAACAGGGGAGTTCAGTTCATATAAATCTCATATTAATCATTTATATAATTAATATAAGGTTTCAAGTCTCATATCTTATAATTAAATAGTAACATTTTCATTATAAGATTAGAAATTACATAATTAATACAAAAACTAGAGCTTATATAATTGGAAAAAGTTATATTTACTATCTTTTTTTTTACTGTCTCTTATTATTAAATTTTAATCGTTGATTTCTATCAATCTAATAGTTGTAATTTATTGGGTCATACTTATTAATTAATTATTAATTTTCAATAATTATAACAGTTAGATTGACGAAAATTAACGATTAAGATTTAATAATAAGGAATAGTAAAAAAAAAAGAGGTAGTAAATATAACATCTTCTTATATTATATTAAAAAGACTATTAAGATATAGTATACTTGTTTTTATGACTAATCTTAAAAAAGTATAGAAAAACATTTAGATCCAAATTTGTATTTTAAATTATAAAATCTTGCACGATAAATTGAGTCCTAAAAGGTAAAAAAAAGTCATTATGAAAAATCTTGTTCGTAAAAGTAAAACTATCATTTGATAAGATTTAATAAAGTACCAACATATTCGAAATGGTCAAAGCCATTGAATCACCGAGTTTCTAATTGTTTGGTTGATGATGCCACGTGCAAAGACAACAGAAAATAGAGGCTCGAAGGAGCAATATCTTTGACAAAATCTTGTTAGCTCATCTAGTTGTAAGATTCATTTTACACTGTTGCATTATTAAATTATATTTTGTTACCAATAATGTCAATAATTATCAACTCTTTCGTAACATGGGGCTTAATTCTTCAAAGCCATAGATATATTCTAATTCAAATGTGATGATAGTAGTCTAGAAGTAAGTCATGTACAAAAATATATTTATAGGAGGAACATGTGTAAAAAGAATTAATTTTGCCCCCACATAGTGATGGGAAATAATTGTCGACATGAAAGCTTTTTGTTGTACCTATTCTTTGACAAGGATTTTATAAGAAGTTTTGTTGGAAGGTCTTTTCAGAAGGACGCTAGCGGTAAACGGTTTAATGCTTTGCATTGTAATAGATCTTGTTATATACTACTTGCAGGTTGTAATCATGTCCCACTCACTACTCCTCAAAGTACATTAATTAAGCGGCATCTAGATTCTAGTGGTACATTATGTAGAGGATGCGTTCGTTTTGAACGTAGATAATAAAACCGGAAATAACATGGCTTAATCTAGAATTTAGCACAGCTACAAGGTTTCCCTTGTATTAGTTTCTAAACTTTATTTATTTGCACAAACATGAATATAAAGCAATTTGAACTACTTAAGACAATACAAGTTTCGTTTAATTTCTTGCAAATATGGTTCGGTAGCAAAATTAACTTACATCGATATAAGAATATTAATTTTATATTAACTTTTAGTTGTTGATACAATTGTATACAGTGACAACAATAACTGCAAAAAAATATTTACTACTATCTAAAAAATAACTTGATACAACTGTATCAACAAAAAATATTTACTACTATCGTAAAAAATAAATGTAACAATTTTTTTTTTAAATTGGTTTAATTTGTTCACATTCAACCTTTTAAAAAATTAAATCGAATCGTACATATATTTACTATATATTTAGATCTTCCTATGTGAAAAAATGATTATATGATCATGTTATTTGATCACAATCACTCATTTAAAAATCATACATTTTTTTCTCTTTTATCTCATCATCAATGAATAGTTGTGATCAAATAATATGATCACATTATCACTTTTTCACGTATTTAAATCCATTTACTATTATCTAAACATATTATCATTAAAGTCATCCGAACATTTCGTGTGGAGACTTTATACTAACGAAACTAATTGACTATACGAAAAGCAAAACAACAAAGTCAGAATTATTATATATGAATCAATAATATTGACCCGATTTCACAAAGTCAAGATAAATTTTACCGTAGTGGTACTGCTCACGTTGTGTGATCCCGCAGTTTTTGACAAAAAAAATAATACAGGGTCACTTTCATTGTTTTTTCTACTTTCTTTTGCGCTATCTATGGTAAAAAAAAATTATTTTTTTGTCATAAATAATGAGTTTGAGAGAACAAATAAAGAACGCAAGAAGAGGGGTTGATCCGTATCATCTTGACTTGGTTCTGATTTCTTTATTTTTTTAAAAATATCGAGTCGGGTTCTTCTAACACCATCCACTTATGCAGATGCAGATGCAGTGAAGAATGCAAATGCAACATAGTGGAAAGCACGTGACTTTTATTTAGCTGATTAAGTTATATGCCAGCTGTATTAGTTGCAACTAACTAGGACTTAGTTAGCTTTCTGTTATACTTTCAGTTGTTTAGTTAATGTTTAGTTACTTAGAAGCTTAGTTCAGTTACTTAGTTTAACTCTCTGTATACAAGCCTTCGAGGCTTCATTTGAATATAACTTCTTCAATATCAATCAAATATTTTTCATAAGATGGTATCAGAGCAATAAGCTCTGGTACTCACCATTCTTTCCGCTGTAAAGTTTCGAGTTCTTGATGATGGCAAATCAAGGTGCTCTTCCAGATTTTCTTACAAATCCAGCCAATCTTTTCTTCCTCCACCCTAATGAAAGTCCAGCGTTAGTGTTAGTTAATCCAGTTCTTGATGGAAGAAACTATCACAGTTGGGCGAGAGCGATGACGATGGCGCTTCTTTCAAAGAACAAGTTAGGCTTCATAGATGGAAGCATTCAACCTCCACCTGCTGAGGATCCTTCTTTTAATGCTTGGCGAAGACGTAATACAATTGTTCTTGCATGGATTCATCGCTCAATCAATGAGTCCATTGCAAAATTGATACTGTGGATAGAAAAAGCTCGTGATGCTTGGATAGATCTTAAAGATCGTTTTTCACAATCCGATATTTTTCGTGTTTCGGATCTGCAAGAAGAAACTTACAAGATGCAACAAGGAGAAAGACCAATCACTGATTTCTTTACTGATATGAAGACTATGAGGGATGAATTAGATAATTTGAAACCACTCCCTGCATGCAGCTGTGCTAATCGATGTGCATGTGGTGGATACCAACAAATGCAGACATACAGAGAGAGAGAGATATCATATCATAAGATTCTTGAAGGGTCTGAATGATCAATATTGTCATGTTCGATCACAAATTATGCTGTTAGATCCATTACCAAATATCAATCGAGTCCTTTCCATTGTGGTTCAACAAGAAAGACAGATGCTTACAGAAGGGCATTTTGATGCCATTGCTGAACCAAAGGCTTTTTCTACTAACTCTGATAAAGGAAGAGGACGTGGAGGTTATGGCCAAGGAGGAGGTTATGGCCAAGGAGGAAGAGGTCGTGGATCTTATGGTCAAGGAAGAGGTAATGGCAAAATCTGTACATTTTGTGGGAGACATAATCACACTATAGACACATGCTATCGAAAGCATGGATTTCCTCCAGGTTTTAAGCCAGGAAATATGGCAAATCATGTTGCATTTGATTCTGGTATGAATGAATCTATGCTAGATTCAAGAGATGCTAAAGATTCAGCAGTTTCTATGTCTCATGAACAATATGAGACTTTGTTAAATGCACTACATTCATCAACTATCAATCCAGATGCAGTGATGTCCTCTTCGAATCATGTTCAAACTTCTACATTAAATGCATATTCCTTTAATAAACCAGGTAATCAACCAATTCAGTGGCTTCTTGATACTAGAGCCACAGATCACATATGTTTTGTTCAATCAGTTTTTTCTAACCTTCACAAAATTTAACCTATTTCTATTTCTTTACCTGATGGCTCAGAAGTGTAGCTTCATTTGCAGGAATAGTATACCTTTCTCCTCATTTGACTTTGATTAATGTCCTTTATGTTCCCAATTTTCGAGTTAATCTCATTTCTGTTACAAAACTAACCAAAATTGTTCCCTGTTATCTCACCTCTGATGATTCTTTTTGTTGTATCAAACAGAACCATTCCAAATCGAGGATTGGTTTAGCTGAGGCAGGAGATGGACTATACATAATGAAGATCTCTCATCAGCATTCTTTTTACCATAATAAGCCATATAGCAAAGCTATCAATTCCACTGTAAACACTTGCATACCTCAATACCCTTTTAACAATAATGTTGTACCTAGTGCTGTTGATGCTTCCTTACTTTGGCATCTTAGACTAGGACATGTATCTCATAATACTCTAAAGCAAATGTCAATACAATTCCCTTTTATTCCCAATGTTCACACTTCACCCTGTGATGCATGTCAATATGCTAAGCAGAAGCGTTTGTGTTTTCCAATAAGCAATCCCAGAACAGAAAGACCTTTGGAAATGATACATGTAGATATATGGGGGCCATATGCAGTACCCTCCATCCACGGACACAAGTATTTCTTAACTATAGTAGATGATTTTACAAGGTTCACATGGACACTTCTCATGAAAT